TCATTTGTTAGAAGAATTGTTGATGTCTGGTTGTCTCTTCAGGTTAAGGAACTTCCAGGTTAAGAATTTTTTAGAATATCAGTTTTTAAGTTGAAAATATTTGGTAATTATTCGGATACAAGGCTCACGCTTTGAAAAAAATTATTAAACATATTTTTGATCGCTGTTCATTATCTCATTTTATGAAACACTATAAACATAGTATCAACTTTAACTTGAATCTGAGATATGGGTATGTGCAGATTTTGACATATCAAGCATAGCTTTGTGATTATAATCTTTTAATTCATTCGACAAAATTCAGTCAGCCTTCAAATCTTTTATAGAAAATTGGAATTAGAATGCCCTGCATGTATCAGCACATCTTACTTTTATATTTTGGAAATCTGCATGACATGTTTTCACCACTGGGGCATCAAACAGTTCTACTGGATTACAGCCCTGCCACGATTTATGGTTTACTGTGAATTCATAGTTGAGCAAATGTCCAGATACCGAGGTCATAATCATTGTAGCTTCTTCTCCAAGAACATGAGCTGTAAATTCATATATCTTATTGTATACAGAAAAACCTTCTCTCTGAAAAGACATTTTCAATAAACATATTCAAAAAAACAATGTGAAGGAGTGAATACCCTATTAGAGTTTCCTCTGGATAAAATAGATGCAATATTTTTGGCCGCATCATTCTTCTCTGCCACATTCAGATATCTCATGATGATTTTCGTATCTGTACTATAATGTCTTGCATTGAGGAAATAATTAAAAATATTTCTAAAGTTGCATAAAACCATTTAAATCATTTTCGAATAATCAAACTAAAACTGCAAAAATATTTTAGCCTATAACCCCAAAATTTTTGTTGTGATCAGGTTACCTGTGTTTTGTTGTTTTACCACAGAATAGTATAAATAAAGAATAGTATTGTTTAATGTTTTGTGGTTTTACCTTATGGCTCGTATAAAGCCGACTTTAGATAAGAGGGTACCAAAGTAAGAAAAAAATCTGTATTCCTCCAATGATGTCACATATTAGTTATGGCGAATTCTTGAACTGAACAGTAAATTTCTGAAATATTGCTTCATTCAATAGAAAAACACTACTGTTAAAAATAGACCAGCATTCAAAATGAAGATGCAGGTCTTCGTACTACAAGTAGTATTCAAGCGTCAAAGCCAAATGCAAATTTTATTCAACTGTATAAAGGTCCATTTCAGATATGAGAACCCTAGCATTCTGTGCATTCCAAACAATTTCATATTTACAAGACACAAAAGTGTGTGAGATATCCACAAAATGAAATTCTCACAAATCAGAGAACTTTTCTATACTGAATACTATACTCAAGAAAATTCTCACAAA